AGCAACCGCTCCAAGAAGTGCTCGGCAGGAGCCTCTCAGTGGAGTCCACTTCCGAGTCCAGGTGAGCAGGAAGCAGGAGTTGGCACCTGGGAATTGTGAGGCCTAAGCAGGTTCTGTTCCATTTACAAAGGCCTTCCTGAGTGTCTGGACCTTTGCCAGGGCTTGAGAGAGACATGAGGGGAGGGGAAGTAACTGAGGTTTGCCAAGCGGCTGCTCTGTGTTAGCACCGTGGCCCTGGAGGAGCTCACCATGCCCTTGGGGAGAGTGACATCGAATAGATAACAGGGTGGACAGTACCCTGATAAAGGAGTGAAGTACACTCTGGACAGCACAGAGGACACAACAGCCAATTTGGGAAAAGGGGCATATTAATGAAGGCTTCATAGAAGAGGTGATAAATGAGCTGGATTTTTGTTTTGTTTTGTTTTGTTTTGAGACAGGGTCTCACTCTGTCACCCAGGCTGGAATGCAGTGGCGCAATCCCAGTTTACTGCAACCTCAACCTCCTGGGCTCAAGTGATCCTCCCACTTCAGTCTCCTGGGTAGCTGGGACATCAGGCACACCACCATGCCTGGCTTATTATTATTTTATTATTATTATTATTTTGTAGAGACGGGGGTCTCACTATGTTGCCCAGGCTGGTCTCGAAACTCCTGAGCTCAAACCATCCTCTCACCTTGGCCTTCCAAAGTGCTGGGATTATGGGATTATAGGCATGAGCCATGGTGCCTGGCCATGGGCTGGATTTTGGGTGCAACTTGGTGGTTTGTTAGGCTGAGAAGTAGAGGAAAGCATTCCAAGGGGAGGCCTGTGTGGGTTTGGAGAATGTGAGGCATTCAGAAGGGTAGAGCCCAAGGGATGGGTGTGACTGGGTAGAGACCTCAGAGAATGCTGGGAGATGAGGTTGGAAGTCAAGGTGGGAAGAGAGGGGCAAGAACCTTAACTTGGCATTTGAAAAGCTTAGGTTGGAAAGTGATATGCTCATATTTGTCTTTTAAGACCATAAACGAAGAAGGCAGAGTGGAGGTTGGGCAGGAGCAGGGAGGTCAGAGAGGAGCTTGTCTTAGTCTAGGAGTTCGTGATGGCCTCAGGACTGAGGTGCTGAGTGTGACTGGGATTTCTCTGCTTGGGCCTGGGCAGGTGTTAGGGCAGGAAGATAAACAGGTTCTGGTGAAAGACGACTGGCCCAGTTTGAGATCTTTGAGGTGTCTGTAGGGCATCCAGCTGGAGATGCCCAGGGGGGTAGTTAGAAAAGGGCAGGGCTCCGGGCTGGAGGTATATTTTTGGGGGGTGGCTGAGCTAGAGACTGTAAGAGAGAGGATGAGCTAGATCATCCTGGCAGAGGGCATGGCGGGAGAGTGGGAGGGGACAGGGAGGGGAGAGGCTCAAGAAAGCAGTAGAGGCAAACTTATGAAATCAAGTGGGGGGATGGGCACAGTGGCTCACACCTGTAATTTCAGCAATTTGGGAGGCCCAGGTGAGCCGATCTCTTGAGTCCAGGAGTTTGAGACCAGCCTGGGCAACATGGCAAAATCCCATCTCTACTAAAAATACAAAAACTTGGCAGGGCAGGGTGGCTCACGCCTGTAATCCCAGCACTTTGGGAGGCTGAGGCGGGAGGATCACTTAAGGTCAGGAGTTCAAGACCAGCCTGGCTAACATAGTGAAACCCCATCTCTACTAAAACTACAAAAATCAGCCAGGCATGGTGGCACACACCTGTAGTCCCAGCTACTCAGGAGGCTGAGGCAGGAGAATTGCTTGAACCTGGGAGGCAGAAGTTGCATTGAGCTAAGACTGTGCCACTGCATTTTAGCCTGGGCGACAGAGGGAGGATTGGTCTCAATAAATAAATAAATAAATAAATAAGTAATAATATAAAAATTAGCGGCCGGGCGCGGTGGCTCAAGCCTGTAATCCCAGCACTTTGGGAGGCCGAGACGGGCGGATCACGAGGTCAGGAGATCGAGACCATCCTGGCTAACACGGTGAAACCCCGTCTCTACTAAAAATACAAAAAAACTAGCCGGGCGAGGTGGCGGGCGCCTGTAGTCCCAGCTACTCGGGAGGCTGAGGCAGGAGAATGGCGCAAACCCGGGAAGCGGAGCTTGCAGTGAGCTGAGATCCGGCCACTGCACTCCAGCCCGGGCTACAGAGCAAGACTCCGTCTCAAAAAAAAAAAAAAAAATTAGCTGGACATGGTGACATACATCTTTAGTCCCAGCTACTAAGGAGGCTAAGGTGGGAGGGATCACTGAGCCAGGGAGGCCGAGACTGCAGTGAGCCAAGATTGTGCCACTGTACTCCAGCCTGGACAATAGTACAAGACCTAGTCTCGAAAAATGAGAAGATTAGGCCGGGCGCGGTGGCTCACGCCTGTAATCCCAGCACTTTGGGAGGCCGAGGCGGGCGGATCACAAGGTCAGGAGATCGAGACCACGGTGAAACCCCGTCTCTACTAAAAATACAAAAAATTAGCCGGGCGCGGTTGTGGGCGCCTGTAGTCCCAGCTACTCGGGAGGCTGAGGCAGGAGAATGGCGTGAACCCGGGAGGCGGAGCTTGCAGTGAGCCGAGATCGCGCCACTGCACTCCAGCCTGGGCGACAGAGCCAGACTCTGTCTCAAAGAAAAAAAAAAAAAAAAAAAAAAAAAAAGAAAAATGAGAAGATTAAAAAAAAAAATAGAAATCAAGTAGGATCATGTGAAGACAGGTGACAGGCAGTTAGGAAATCACTGGAGTGGCTTGTGGGAATGTTTTTCATGGCATCGGGAAGACCAAAACTGGATCTGTCATGATGGGTTGAGGGCTGTCAGGTAAAGAAGACTCAGAAAGGCTGGGCACGGTGGCTCACACCTATAATCCTAGCACTTTGGGAGGCTGAGGCAGGTGGATCACTTGAGGTCAGGAGTTTGAGACCAGCCTGGCCAACATGGTAAAACCTTGTCTCTACTAAAAATACAAAAAATTAGGCATGGTGGCAGGCGCCTGTAATCCCAGCTACTTGGGAGGCTGAGGCAGGAGAATCACTTGAACCCAGGAGGCGGAAGTTGCAGTGAGCCGAGATCACGCCACTGCACTCCAGCCTGGGTGACAGAGAGAGACTCCGTCTCTAAATACATACATACGTACGTACATACATACATACATACATGCAAAATAAAAGGACTCAGAAATATGGTATATGGCTCCTGCATCACTGTTGCCAGGAGTTTGATAATGCTTTTCATCTAATGAGTGCTGTAGTTTGAAAAAATGTAAGCTTGATGGTGAAGAGAAAGACAGTTAGCTTCACAGAGCAAGAAAGTAGCTTGAAGGGGAGTCAGCACTAAAAGCGTTTTCCAGATCTAAGGACAGGAAGATTTGAGCATTTAGGCAGTGTAAAAGAGCACTGGGGAGGGAGGTTTGGGTTCCAGGGCCAGGTGGACCAGGTGGCCTGCCTTAGAAAGGAGCAGGCTGGCAGAGGCAGAGGGGAGAGTATACTTTCCCCTGAGCAGCTGAGCCCACTCCAGCCTGGAGGCCTTGCTTCTCTCTGGGGAGGAGGAGGCAAGAGCACCTGCTGAGAGAGCAGAGCAGGCGGCTGGGAGTGGAATGAAGATTTCAAGGAGTGGGTGGTAGAGGTTGAAAGAACTACTGTGGCAAGTGTGCAAAGAAGCCGACTGGGGAGGTTAAGGGATTTCCAGGTAGCGTCAAAGGCCCAGATGATGCTGGAAGCCGTAACCTGTAATGATTGCTCCAGTGCGCTTGGTTATGTGATTTTCTCTGGCATGTGTGGTAGCCATGAATAGGATTCACGGGTGGAGGGCTTTTTCTGGGCAGGTCAGGAGGACAAGATGGAGTGAGAATTGAGGTGTCTTTGGTAAGAGTGTCTAAGATGACTGGTGAAGAGGAGGGGCTAAGGTCCCTGGGGGCAGCCCAGGGTCTCTGTCTTGATGACGTGTTAGAACAGAGGCAGTGGCCAGGAGGGAGAGCTGCCTGAACAGGAGGGGCTCAGAGAGGGGGCCATGGCCAGGGAAGAACTCTGGAATGAATCCAGTGAAGGGCCAAGGCTGAGGAGGACGTCTGAGTGGGAACAGAGATGACAGTCAATAGGACCAAGGAGGTTAGGGATTGAGAGGCCAGAGAATTGGATGGGTCCTCTAACGAGGAGGTTGTAGGACCATACAAACAGCAGGAGTCCAGAGCCGGCATCTTAAACAGATGTGGCAGGTGTCTGGCAGGCCTAAGGAGACAGCCACAGCACTGGTTGTATAGCTGTCATGGCAGCCAGGGGCTTTGCAAAAATCACTAGGGGCCAGCTGGGTTTGAGAAGGTTAAGCTACCTCCTCTTGGGAGGACTGCAAATAAAACTGTCCAGTGGGCACATTCCAGTGTGAATGGGACGGTGGAGGTCGTGATGAGTCGAGAGGTTGAAGGGGAAGCAAAGCTTTCTTTTCAGAGGTTCTAGAGGGCCCAGTGAAAGGATAAACTGGGTCAGCAGAGGGGACAGCTTGAGCCTTGAGCAGGTGTGACCACTGAGGTCACTAGTGGTTCCGCCCTTCCTAGCCATGTGGCCTCAGGCAAGTCACTGCCCCCGCTCAGCATCAGCCTAAAATCAGAAAATATCTACAGCCATGGGCTGGTATGCCTCGTGGGTCTGAGAGAGCAGGAGTTCCTCATAAAGAACAGGAGCTGGATCTGAACAGATGGGGCAGGGCAGGGGGCAGGGATGCACCTGTGAAGACAGAAGGTGGGTGATCCAGCCACACCCTTCCTCTCCTCACTAGTGACCTGGATGAGGAGAAGGGGCCTCAGCAGAGGAAGCACGGGCAGCAGCCCTTACCTGAAGCCCATCAGCCTATTAGCATTCTCACCAGCCCTGAGCCCCACAGACCACCTGAGACATCCTCCGCCCCCAAAGCAGCCCCCACTCCAGCTTCAGAACCCTCAGTCCCTCTCGCACCTCCCTCTCCTCCTGATCCTTCCCACCTACCCCACAAATAAACCAAAAGTGGACACAAGTGTGAATCTTAAATTATTATTATTTCTTCCTGTCGCTTACACCCTTGGTCGGGGGGTTGGGATGGGGGGAAGGGAATAGGAGGGGGGGAGTGCCTCTCCCCCCTAAGGCACTGACTGGGAAAGCCGAAAGTAGGGAGAAAGGAGGCCACATTGTCCCCACTCTCTGGGGCTGGGCCCCAGGTCTCCCCAGCCCTGGGCTCCCCCCATCACCTGAAATGCTAAGATGAGGCCCAGGACAACCCGACCTCCCTGCCACCCCAATATATTACATCATCACTTTTTAAATAGATACAGGGACTGGTCCCGCTACCCCCTCCCTGTGACCCCTCCCCACTGTTAGGGGTACCTGGGCAGCTGTGCAAATGGGCATGGGGGTGCATGGAAGGGAGGAAGAGCACCGGGCCCCTGAACCTGCCCCTTTTAAGGAGGGGGAGGAGCCGTCAGGCCAGGAAGGGGAAATAGTGCAAGGCAGAGCCCAGGCTGCAAAAGGGGTCCAGCACCCAGCGAGGAAGGGGGGGGTGTCCCCCACCCCCAGCAGAATTGGGTAGTTAAAAATCTGAAACTAGATTTCAACAAGACCAACAGAAGAGGCTATGTACAGAATGGGGGTGGATTCAATCCTAAGAGAAGAGTGAGGGGATTATTCTCCCCTGCCTGACAGGAAGCCCAGCTGGCAAGGATCTGGGAAGGGGATCACTTTCCCACAGGTCCGCAGCCCCTTTCCCTGCGGCCAAGCGAGAAGTTCTGTGCCCACTGCCTTGGCAAGGGGGCGCCGCTCACCAGCTGGGGTGGCTGAGGAGAAGACAGCTCGCTCCAGTAGCCGCGGGGGGCGCTCGCCCGCTCAGGGCATGGCCGCCAGATGGCGCCGGCTCGCCCGCTCTCCACAAGGCTCTTCCAACCCCTCACCCTGTCCCACACCCTTCGCTGCGCCAGCCCGGGGGCGGCGTGAGTCAGGGGCGGCAGCGGTGGCGGCGGCTCCGGCTCGCACCTGGGCGGGGAGGAGATGGGGAGGAGAAGAGGGTAGGACGCCGCCCGGCCCGCCCTGCCCTCTGGCCCCGGGGAGGGAGCGGCGGGAACAAGACATTCCCTGCCCAGGGCCGCGGGGAGGGAGGGACAGGGAGGGGAGTGGAACGGAGCGGCTCCCCTAGCTGGGCGGGGCCCCTCTCCACTGCCCCCAGGGGCGGGCGAGCCAATCAGGCCACCCTGCCCCCTTCTTCTCCGCGACCCCATGACTCAGCGCCGGGAGCAGGGCGGAGGGGGACTGGGATGGCTCCTTCCTTACAGGCCCAGTCCCCCAGTCTTTCAAGCTTCCACCTGGCTTTCCCCCACCTACCCTTCCTTTGCCGGCCCCCTTTGCATAATTCACTGCCAGGAAAAAGGAACAGAAACCAGGAAGGAGGGGTCTCGGAAGGGAGGGGCAGTCCTTCACCCCCTTACACAGCCAAAACCCCCAAGGGGCAGAGGGGCGGGGCAAGGCTTTGGTCCCAAGCCCCCACCCCCTAGAAACCCGCATAGCCGAAGTGGGACCCACAAATCAGAAATACATTATTGCTTCTACTCCCCAGGAGCAGCTGGGGACAGGGACCCCACTTTTACAATAGAGCTGTAAATATATACACAATATATGTATCACTCCTTGGGGGATCACCCCAATTTGGGGAGCCTCTGCCCCAATACCTTCTTAGCTCGGAATTGGAATGAGGGCTCTGGGAGGAAGGGCTGATGCTGACACCAGCAAGGCTCCGTGCCCCAGACCCCTGCTGTGTCTGTCCTGCGTGCTCCCACTGCTTGGCATGGGTGTCCCCGGCCTTGTGCTGCTTCCGCCTGGCCCTCGTCCCTCTTTAAGAGGACTCCATAGCACCTTCAGCCTGGGGTGTGGTGGGTGCCCCTTCCTCCTCATCGTCATCAGGGGGCCCCGGGGTAGAGACCGGGGGCCCGGTGGGGGCTGACTGCTCCCAGAATCGAGCTAGAGAGAGGCGGAAGGTGTCCAGGTGGCCATTGGAGAGGTCGAGGCCAGCGGGGGATGCAGCAGCCGTAGAGGGTGGCGGGTAGTGGGGTGGTGCATCGTCCTTGCGGCGCCGTCGGGTGCGCACCTCCAGGCAGTTCTGGCCTTTGAGGTGGCGCTGCAGGTGGTCCTCCTTGGCGAAAGCCTTGTGGCACAGGTGGCACTCATAGGGCCGGTCCCCCGTATGCAGGTGCATGTGGTTCTTGAGGTCGTAGCTGTGCAGGAAGCGGGCTGGGCAGTGCGGGCACGAGTAGGGGCGCTCTCCCGTGTGCTTCCGCATGTGGATCTTCAGCTTGTCGTTCCTGGCACAGGCAGGGGTGAGGGGCAGGGAGGTGTTCAGGATGGGATCCCTGGCTCCTTCTGGTCATACCACCCTGGCCTTGTCCCATCCCTGTCCCTCACCATTTGTTACCCCACTATTGCCCCAGGATACCCTGCTGGCTCACCTCTAGCTTAACAAGGCCTTGCCATTATCCACTCCTCTGCTTCCAGCACTGCCCTCCTGGGCACCAAATCCTTCATGCTCCAGACCCACCCCCCGCTGGCTTGTTTTATTCTGCTCTCCTCATTCCAGTAACCCACTCATGTCCCAGTCCCTCCACGACCACCTACCTCCACCTCGGGTCTCCTAACTCCTTCCCCCTCTCCTCCCACCCTGTCCCCTACCCACGACCCCTGCCGGGCCCTTCCCCACTTGCTGCTCACCGGGTGAATCGAACACCGCAGACCTCGCAGGCAAAGGGCTTCTCGCCTGTGTGGGTCCTCATGTGGCGAGGCAGTTTGCCCGCCCCATGGATGATCTTGTGGCAGACAGGACACTCCTGAGGCATCTGGGAGCGGCGTTTGCGCACCAGCTTGTCTTGGCCATCCAGGCCTGGTGCCAGGTTGTCCTGGTGCAGGGAGCTTAGGTAGGCCATCAGGTCAGGATCGATGGCATCCTCATCTGAGCCCAGCTCCTCTGGGGACAGCGGGGGCCCGCCACCCTGCGCCAGCCCATAGGCTGGGGGATATACCAGCTCCTCTTCTTCTTCCTCACCCTCATAGGGTTCGTAGCTCTGGGGCCCCTCAGGAGGGGAGGCGGTTCCTGTGGGAGGGCTGTAGCTGTCCCCCAGCCCACTGCCCCCACTGCTGCCCACTCTACCCACCACCTCCTCCTCCTCATAGGTCAAGGGATGGGCAGGTACTGCGGGCACCTCAGGGACTAGGTGGTTTGCTCTGGCCCCCTTGGTTTGCAGGAAAGCTTTCCGGGGCTTGCGGCTGCGGCGGGCAACAGGCCGAGGTGGCGGTGGTGGAGGTGGTGGGAGGGGCACCTGTGGAGGACTGTCTTCACCATTGGGAACTCCAGAGGCTGTGGCTGTGGCAAAGGCCTGCAGATACTGGCGGGCTCGCTCACAGTCATCCTCGTCTGGGCTGGGAGCTTCTAGCCCACTGCCCTGCAGAATCTCCATGCAAGCAGCGATGACACACGGGATCTCCAGCAGGCGGGCAGCCTGGAGCACAGCTGGCATGTTGGCGCTGCTGGTGGTCAGTGTGGCTGTATAGGCAAATTCAAGGAGGGCGCCTAGTGCCTCTGGCCCTACAAAGTCCAGCTCACACACGCCTGCTCCTGCTCCCCCAGTGGCTGTCCCGCTGCCCCCGGCCCCCATGACAGCTCCGCCACCGCCCTCAGTGAATAGCTTCTTGAAGTAGTGGCTACAGGCAGCTAGCACAGCCCTGTGGGTGCGGTATTCAAGGCCCTGCGTCCGGATGGTGAGGTCACATAGGTGGCCCAGCTGGCGCTGCTCATTGAGGCAGCTCAGGAGCTCACTGCTGTGGTCCGGGAATGGAATCCCAATCAGGTCATCCTCGGGGCTCCCCATCTTCTCCTGCAGAGTCAAATAGAGGGGAGGTTAAGAGCGCTCAGCCCATAGGGGTCTGGGGAAAGAGGACCAACTTTAGCCAATACTTATTGAAGGATGACTACATGCCAGTCACCCTTCTGAGTACTTTACACTCATTTCATCTTCCAAAACCCTCCGAAGTATGATCATCATCTGTTTCACAGACAAGGAAACTGAGGTTCAGACAGGTGAAGTGATTTTCCAAGTTAAGTGCAGAACAGTATTTGAATTCAGGCAGTGGGCCCGGTCCTTGTTCCTAACCACTACACTGTTCTATTCTGCCTCTGTGGCAGCAGGAGCCCTGCCTTTCTGGCCTTTTCATAGAGGTCCATCTGTGTCACCTGCCCCCTTCCCCATCTCTTTGGAAGGAGCAGTGGACTAGGAGCTAAGATGCCTGGGTCCTGGTTCAGGCTTCATAAAGAATTGGCTGAAGGACCAGGGGTGGTACTGGCAGCTGGCCTCAGTCATTTGAAAAGTGAGGTAACGGTCTTTGTAGTGAAACCTCCTCATAACCTGGGGAGAGGCCAATGAGAGAGTTCAGACTCACACTGGACCAATATCTGCTGGAGGCCAGGCAGACAGGTGCTTTAACTCAAGTTATCTCTCTCCAAAGCGGCTAGGACACTGTAAAACATATACAAACAAGAGAAGGCAGCTTCCAAGCATCATCCTCTTCCTCCTCGTGCCCCTCCCCTGGCTACCAAAGGTTCATCTCCCCTTCTAGATCCCCCACTTCTTGAGGCCAAACGGGAAACACAGCTCCCAGCATCCCTCCCCCCACATCCTCCCCTCCCCCATGGGGCCAAGGAGCAGCCACCCTTTGCTGGGGTGTCACTGGCTGGCGCGGTTGCTTCCTGCCCCGCACAGATAAGCATCGCCCCCGCCCCCTCCCCCACTGCCAATAGGCCAAGTTCCAGTCCCACCCCCCAACTCCCCCTCAGCTACTGCCACCCCTCTCTCCGTATTCCAGGAGAGCCACATCTCCAGAGGGCCTTGGTCCTGCTCTCTATCCTTTACCCTCCAACGCCCAGCCACAGGAGGTGGGTGCAGAGCAGCCAGCCATCCCAAGGCTGGCAGAGGTGTGGGCAGGGGTTGGGGCCTGGAAGGGGGTGAGACCTGCTTTAAATCCTGGCTCTGCCACTATCTTGCTGAATGACCTTGGGAAAGTCATTTCTCTCTGTGCTTCCATTTCCTCAGCTGTGCAAGGAGGGGGTGGAAGTAGTGGCCCCAATGGCTCAGCCCTTCAGCCCTGACATTTTGTGGGTCTGGAGCAACTGGAGACAGTGCTGGGGCCTGGAAAGAGCTGGGCTCTGGAGTCAGCCAGGTTTGAGTTTGAATCCTGTCTCTGCCACCAGTTAGCTCCATGACCTTAAACAAGTGATTTAATCTCTGAGCCGCCTTCCTCGTCTGTAATATAGGATAATTCCACCTGACTCCTAGAGTTGTGGTGAGGGTTAAATGAGACCAAATATGGCACAATGCCTGATACGCAGTGGGGATTCAATAAATGTTCTGGCCTTGGCCTAGCCTGGGGTCAGATTCCACTATACAGATGGCCTCTGTTAAGAAAACTACTTGGGGACAGGTCAGCCTCCCTCCCTCAAATCACCCTGAGGGAACCAGGCTACTACTAGCTACATGACTTTGGATACGTCACTTCCTTTCCTGAGGAGGCCTGTTCCTCATATGTAATATTAAAGACTACCCCTGTTGATCCTTAGGGCAAGTCCCACTGATATTTTGTCAGGGTCCCCTCTGCCGCGTCAGCAGCTGTTCAGCCCTGGCCATTGATGGGGAAAGGTTTTTTTTTGGGGGGATGGGGGAGTGAATGGGGGAGTTAGGCCACAAATTTTTTTTTTTTTTTTTTTTGAGACGGAGTCTCGCACTGTCGCCCAGGCTGGAGTGCAGTGGCCGGATCTCAGCTCACTGCAAGCTCTGCCTCCCGGGTTTACGCCATTCTCCTACCTCCGCCTCCCGAGCAGCTGGGACTACAGATGCCTGCCACCCCGTCCGGCTAGTTTTTTGTATTTTTTTGTAGAGACGGGGTTTCACCGTGTTAGCCAGGATGGTCTCGATCTCCTGACCTCGTGATCCGCCCGTCTGAGCCTCCCAAAGTGCTGGGATTACAGGCTTGCGCCACCGCGCCCAGCCACAAATTTTCTCTTTAGGACACAAGAACTGCATTCTCTGTGTCTGCCTCCCTGCCTGCCCCCTTCATTGCAAGGCCAGGGCTCCTACACAGAAACCTTAGGTGAGCAGCACCCGCATGTCCGTCTTTGCTTGTAAGCCACATCTAGGCACCCTTAGATAGCCCACCTGTTTCCACCTTAAGTCCTCAAACCACTTCTCTCCCTAGGAACCAAGCCATCTGAGAGCTCTCCCTGCTCCCTTTAATCCTCCTGACTGTACTTTACAAATGGTACAAGTGGCAAATGGCCCCCAGACTTGGGAACAAACAAAAACCAGGTGGGCAGCAGCAGCAGGAGGAGCAGCAGCAACAGTGGCTGTAGCCACTTAAGCAGCAGTAGGCACCCTCCTGGGCCCAAGTGGATCCTGTCCTTCCTAAGGGGGATGGGTGGGGCTGTCCTCGCTGTCCATTGGCTGGGAGCTGGGCACTGGCAGGCACGTGGCTCACCCCATCCCTCTCCCTCCTTCCCTGCCCACCCCACCCATTCCCGCTGCTAAGCCCGCCTCCTTTCTCCCACCCCAGGGCCGGTCTCCGTGGCAACTTGGTGTGGTGGGGGCGCTGATTGGCTGACCTCACTGTCAGGTCACAGGCTCAGGCTCGTTCACCACGCAACTCACACAGGGATTGGGCAAGGGTGGGTGTTTAACTCCTTAGGCCCAAATCCAATGCCCATGGCCAAGAGGTAGCAATGAAAGAGGGGGAGAGGCAGAGGACATGCGTGGGAAGGAGAGGGTATTCATAAGGTTCTCTAGCTTCTGGGAAACTCCCCTAACCCTTACCCAGGGCTCTAGCACCCATGCCAATATAGGTGCCACCTGGAGCTATGGTGGTGCCAACCAGGCCAAGGGGCCCTCCTAGGCCCATCATCTGGGAGGGATGGGTGGGGCGAAGGCATCCCTTCTTTCTGCCAGGGTAGGGCACTGGTGCCAGGGTGCCCACCCCACCTTGGGCACCTTTCCCACCTCTGCATCCCAGAGGGCCCAGTCCCCTGACGCCCCATGAAGGCGGCCCATCCCCACCCAGTCTGGCATGCCCCCTCTTGCTAAGACCTTGTGGGCATGGGCGTGTGTGGTGGTTGGGGGTGCAGCTGTGCCAGGGAACCGGGCAAGGTCTGTTTGGTCTGTTTGCCTGGTAGGGGGAAGAACTGGGGGCCCCGCCCCATCACTCCCCTCTTTCCCGCCACCCCCCCAGGCTCCCCTCACTGTCAGGCCTGCTAGACCGGCCAAGCCGGTGGGCAGCTCTCTTGAAACTGGGCCCTGAGTCAAGCCTGCCCTATCTTTGGTTGGGGGAAGACTTCAGGGTGAGAAAGTTGGGAGGGGGTAAAGGTGGAAGTGCCTATCACCTACCCTTCAGTGCTCAAGGGCACCTGGCAGGGTATGTCCAGCACCAAGAAACCAAAAGGTGGAGGCCACTGGCCCGGTCTTGGAAAGAAAAGGGAGACAGGAACTCTTTCCAGATGCTGACCTCAGGCAGGGTCCAGTGCAGGGCTGGGGGCCACTAGGGCCAACACTGCTGGCTTGAGCCAGCCGAAGGGCAGGGATAGGAGGCCCTGAATAGGGCAGCTGAGTAAAGCTGGCCCCCCTTTCCCCACCCTGGGGATTAGGGGAGTGAGGCTTAGTGTGGGGGGCAGCAGGCAGAACCAGGATTAGCGGCGGAGAAAATAGATATGGGCCTGAGACACAGGCACACAGAGCCCCCCCTCCCCAGGTTCCAAGGCCCCTACCTCTAGGCTCTGCCAGGGAGCCTGAGAGGGGCCTGGCCAGGCTTCTCCAGGAGCAGCAGCTTGGGGTGAGGGAGGATGAGGACCAGGCTGTAACATCTTCCTGCCAGGGATGATGGAGAGACCTGAGGCTCTTCCCAACGCTCCTGGTGCCTTGGCTGGCCACCCCTCCCCCTTACTTCTGTCTCCTTTCTCCCTCCAACCCCCACCCCAACTCCAGCCTCAGGTTCTCTTCCTGTTTTTTTGGAACTAAGTTTGCACGAAGCCAGGGCTTTGGCCTGCGTCTGGACCAGGGGGGTGGGGAAATTGGACAGCCAGTCCAAAGTCCTAAGGGACCCAGGAATTCTTATTCTCCAGCTTCCTCCACCACTTCTCAGGGCCTCTGGGGCCCAGGGGCCGAAGCCATCTGGATTGCCCAGTTGGGGAGGGAAGGTAAAGGGGCTGAACCTCTTCTCACATGAGGACTAGAAGGGCTTCAAAGAAGAGGTTCTTTGCCCAGGGATGCTCTGACATTTATGGAGCTCTTCTCTCCCCACCCCAGCCCCTCCAAGCTTGTGCATGCCTTCCCCATCCCCCATATGACGCTTCCCCTCCTAACCTCACCACCCCCAGCACTCACACTTCCTGGGGGCCGAGGCGGGGAAGAGAGACCGCAAGCCACGAAGGGGGAAGGAGGCGAGGGGAGTTGGCTGCTTCCCGGTGCTGTGGGGGTTAAGTCTCTGCCCAGCTCCAAATCCCCCAGTCCTGGTTCTGGGGCTCCTGAAATGAGGTAGACCTTAATGCTTCCCTACATTTTCTTTCCATGACACAAGCCCTTGCCCATAGCCCCTTAGTCTCCATCAAGGGAAATATGAGGGAGATAAAAGATGGCGGAGGAAGGAATGGGGGCAACTCTCCCAGCCTTCGCACCACCACCTTTGGGTATTCCCTGCCATCAGCCAGTCTTCACTCTTGCCCTTCTCTTGGCCTCCTTGTTCTCATTGCCTCCTTCGACCCTTGTCTTCCCTCCGCAAGTCCACCCTTTGCATTCCTTCCTTCAGCCCTCCTTGAACTCCGCACCCTCTCCACCACATCAGTGTCCCTAGGCCTCCTCCCAGGAACTGTCCCCGCCTCTCCTTTCTCTTCCCCTTGGTTCTCTCTTGCTCAAACCTCTCCACTGTCTCCACTGGCCCCCTGCTTCGAGCATCCCTTCCCTTCTCCCCAGGCATGTGAGGGGTGGAGAGAGGCAGAGGAATTAAATCAGGGGCCAGGCCTGCCCTCCAACACCTGGTCTTGCCAAAAGATGGTTGAGTTTAGGGCATCCACGCCCCACTTTTGGATGAAGCAGGGGACCACAATTTGGGAGCCAGTTGGGGAGAATAAGTGGTGGAGGGGGGTTTGCAGCGAGAGCGGATGTGGGGTGGGGGTGGAGGGACAACCTGTGCCTCTGTGCCCGTCAGAGTTTCCAGCCCTGGAGCTGCTGGACTTTCCCCGGAGGGTGCCCACCCTGGACCAGGCAATTGTCCACTTGGACAGACTCTGGCCATCAGGATTCTCAGCAGGGTCTGCCTGGACAGTGCCAGCTCCCCTTAGGGCCTGAGGAGACCGCACAAGGTGCCAGGGTCTGCCCTGTGCCCACCCCCTCCCCCCAGCCTAGTGTCTCCAGCTGGGTAACCGAGCTGGCTGGTAACCCCACACCCGCCAAGCCGCCGGCAGAAACCTGAGCCCCCCAGCCCCAGAGGACACCCCAGCCCGATCTCCGGAGCCCGGCTCTCTGCCAGCCTGACCAGCCTTCTGGCCTGGCCCAGCAATCACTCAGTCCCTATAGGCCGCTCTTCTGCCTCTCCTGATCCGCTCGGGTCCTCTTAGACACTGAAGCCTCCCCACATTCCCGCTTCTCAAGCCCTCAGTTCCCTAAACTCTCTTGTGAAGTCTGGGCACCCTCTTCCTGGCCTGTTTTTCAGTCCTCTGACCCTAGGCTAATTCTAGGCCTCCAAGCCCCCCTGGGGCCTGATCTCCCGAGCCAGAGCAGGGCCTACTCACCTGAATGCTGAGGGGCCTGGCGGCAACTCCTCCTGGCCCCTGGGGGCAGCAGGTTGGGACAGGTGGGGGAGGGCCAGGCTTGGGGGGAGGTAGGGTGGCTGTTCCCCGCTCCAGCTCCCTCCTTCAAAGGGGCCGCCCACGACCTGGCCCAGCCCCTCCCCCCTACAGCCTTAACCCTCTGGGTGCTGTCCCCCCTCCCCCCAGCTTGGAGGGAGGGGTTACCGGAGGGCTGGCGGCGTGGGAGAGGGCCCAGAGTCTCTGCCTGTGATGCCTGAAGCCCCAGCAGAACCCACCCGCTCCTGTCCTTACTCAGTCCTAAAAGAGGAAAAAGGTGAGGGGTAGGAAAGGTAGGAGCTGGGACAGTCCAGGAGGACAGAGATGAGGAGGAGCAATGGGAGAGGCTACTGGAGGTGGGACCAGGAGAAGGAAGAAGGGAGGGGAGGGGACAGAGGTGGCAGTGGCCAGAAGAGGGAGGAGGGGAACCCTGGACGGTCAGTGCCAGGGGTGACAGGTGCCTGGGTCCCAGCCCCTCAGAATATGTGGGATGGGGACCACAAGGAGGCCCTCTAGACCCCAGCAGGCTCCTCAGTCCCCCTGGGAGCTGGCCGAATTCTCCCTACCTTGTACTGGGCTGGGGCCCTCAGGGGCTGGGCAAGGCGGCACCCCGCCCTCCCCATAGCCTCACCCCAAACCCACTCACATACCACAGTTCCTTGCCCGGGCGCCAACCCCTGCCAACCAGGCCAGGGGGCAGCACTCATGCCAGCCCCCAATAGCCAGGGGGATCAGGGGGTACAGAGCTGGCCTGAGGGGGATAGACAGATTGGGGGAGCTGTGGGCACCGAAAGAGGAAGGAGCCGGGAGGGGGCATCTGCTGGGAAGCGCCTAGCCCCACCCCTTGCGCAAGCTGCTGCCACCCTGGCCGGTTGGGTGGGACCCGCCTGGGCCTGAGGGGCAACTCAGGAGGGCTCTGAGCCCAGACATGGATGGGCCACCAAGTTTCACTTAAACAACTCCTGGGGTCCCTTATTCCTGGAATGAGGAGTGCCCTAGTGTCCCCCAGACACTAGGCCATCCCAAGTCCTGCTAGGCTTGGGGGTACCATAGAAATGCCCCCTAAAGTATCCCCTCCCCTTTCCCCCAACAGCTGCTGGCTCAATGCCGCTGGCCTGCTGCCCCTCACCAGCTCCCGGCCCGGTTGGCACCTACCCACCAGGATGCTGGCAGTCCTGCCCTCCTCTCCCTCCTACCCCCCTGCTCCCAGCGCCCCATGCCAACTGTGGGCCTGAGGTGGGGGAGGGTCACCCTGTGCCTTGGTGCCAGTCTGACGGGCCCAGGCCCCTAGGCCCTACAGATAAGGCCTAAGACCCTGTTCTCAAGCCACCCCCTCAAGATGTAGCACACTGGTCAGGGCCTACACAGGGAGAGCCTAGGAGGCAATGGACAGCCCTGTGAGCAGTTAATGAAGGCTCCACACCCCAGGGTGGGGGCCAGTGTCTCTCCCTACCACCAGGTGCCAACCTCCCGGCATTCCCCCTGCCCAAGCATTTGCTTGGGCACCAAAGTCCCTGCAATTCCTGAGAGCCCTAGTGCCTGCAGCCTGCGAGGGAGTGGGGTGGGGCTGCTCTCTGCCCTTTGATCCCCATAAAGGGAGGGAACCAGCCTAGAGGGCAGGGGGCAGGGAGGGAGTTCATGGGGCCCCTCTGTTTCACCCCTGCCAGGGACAGCAGGGCAGGGTGTGGGCATCTTTTGGGTGGGGCCCTAAGGTGAGGACGGGTAGCATGTCTCAGCAAGGGAGATGGATGTCAGTCATAGGTACATGGCATCCCATGGCAATGTGATAGCAAGAATAAAGTGGGGGGATGCAGAGGGTACCCACATTCCAACCCATCCCAGTTCTGGTTTTCACCCTCATCAAGAAACACTTCCAGACTCAGCCAAATTGAGAGCTCAAGGACTACAATTCCCAGTGTGCACCACAATTGCTTTGTATGTACCTTGGGAGTTGTAGTACCCCTTGAGAAGCCCTGGGTTCTCCTCTTCCCCAGAGCCTTGCTGATGGGTGGGAAGGGCAGATGACTTGCTCATGAATCTCCAAGGGGGCTAGGTTTAAGAAGAGGTAAAAGGCTAGGATGTCCATGGTGGAGGAAAGAGGACCCCTGCTCCCAGGCAAAGGGGGAGGAAAGGAGGAAGGAAGGAGGAGAGGATGTCTGTTGAAAGGGGCATATGGGTGGGGAGGAGTTGGGGGGACGGTGGAAACAGGAAGGAAATTGAAGCCAGAGACATGAGGTTGAAAGTAAAGGCCTGGGGGAGCCCCACTCTGAGGCCTGTCAGGGACTGGGATGGCATTTCCCCATGTCATTCTGTTGGCCTGGGAGGAAGAGGAATCAGTGATGTCAAAAGATAGCAAATTGATATATTTATGGGGATCACTGTTTCTTTTGCCTCCATCAGCCCTCTTTTGCCTGGGGCACCTTCAAACCTTGAATCTGGCATAGGTATTTGCTGACTGGGAAGCTCTGAAGGCTGACCTGGTTCTGGGGAGGATAGCAGGCAAAGGAAGGGGCTTGGGGAGATCAGGGCTAGGCCTGATGGTAAATATGGTAGAGGTATATGTGGGGTTAGGCCAGATGTAGTCAGGGCAAGTGCTGGCAAATGAGAATGCTATCCTCCAGAGCAGAACCATGGCATCTGGAGGCCTCAGGGAAGAGAGGGCTAAGATGTCCATCCTAAGCTGTGGGACAGGATGAAGAGGGCAGCCCTCTCTGGTCTCCCTGGGGAATTTGTTAAAGGTAGCTTTGTCCCTGTGCCAGTGAATATTAAAGATGGCAATTCAGGGGGCCAGGTGGTAGCTGGGTGCCTTTCCCTAGTAGGGGTGGAGGTCAGAAGTGGGCAGAGGACCTGCTTTGAAGTCACTTCTCCTGGGCTCCCCAAGGCTCTGGGACAGATGCTTGCAGGCCCCAGCCAAGATTCTTGCCAAGACCTGGGCCTGGCTGGGTGTGGGGGTCTTTCTTGTCCCCACCCCACCAAACACTTGATGGTGGATGACAGCAGCTCTATCCCCTACCTCCCAGTCCCCCAGGCCCGCCTTGGCGCCTGGCCGCTTCTGTGTTGGCAAGAGGTGGGGGGGAGGGGGCAGCGAGGCAACTTCAAACTGTCCGGGCAAAACGTCAAGTTTACTCACGAGTTTACTCAGCACAAGGAGGGGGAAGAGGCCAGGGCGGGCACACCCCATGCCAGGGTCCTATCCATCTGCCTGTCCCCACCTTCCTCCCCCACTGTTCTCTCCTGCCCTAGGCCAAAACAGGCATAGGCCCTAAGGCCTGGTGTCAGGACAGTCTTAACTCTCAGGAAGGTCAGGGAGCCAAGCGGGACAGAGGCAGGAAGCCCCGCAGCAGGCCCAGAGGCTTCTGTCAGAGGGCAGTGCCCTGCCTGGAGCCCATTCACTACTCATCTTGGGACCTTGGTCTTGGGCCAGAAGAATTGGGTCTCTTAGCCATTAAGAAGGGGGGCAGTACCAGGCCAAACCTCCTCCATCTGAGCACTCCCCTGGGCAGTGACTTCTGACCTGAAATGCCCAGTCCTAGGCTGTCCCTCAGTCTGATGCCATGCAGGCAGCCATAGGATCAGGGGCTGGTTTTCTCAGCCTTGGCTTGGAATGGGGGGCTGGCATCCTATCTGACCTACTTCCCTTTCCTCCCCACCTGCTTTCATTCTCTGCTTCTCTCCCCCAGCCTTCACTGTCCCCACCCCAGAGCGCTCCGCCCCCCATGCCTGCTGGGCCCCCTCCCCCAACCTTCCCCAGGGTGCCAAGTGCAGGCACACAAAGGGCCTGATGGTGCATTGTTAGCCCAGCCCCCGCTGCCCGCCGCGCCCTCCCTGGGCAGGCACTAGGCCAAGGAGGAGCTGGGGGCCCTGGGTGCCAGGGGGCACCATGGGGAAGAAGGGGACAGCACCTGTCTTCCAGATACTGGGGTCTACATCAGCCAGGGCTGAGTAGTGATGAGTGTCCCATTAGAGCAAGCCTGTCTCCTTGACACCTGAGCCTAGTGGGCACTGCCTTCTTTCTTCCCCAGAGCCCCATTCTGGTGGTATTAACCCCTTTTTGACCCCTATGCCAAGGCCGGGGGTGTATGGTACCCAAGGGAGGGGACAGTGTCTGGGGGTGCCAGCTAGTTGTGCTGTGCCCACAGCAACCATGTAACAGAGGCACGCTGGGGGAGCTGGGGTCCCCGGGGCCAGGGACAGAGGCACTGACAGAGATTTCTCCTTGTTTCATCAGCTGCTCCAGGGGGAGCCCCCTGCCCTTCTCCCCAGTTACCGCTAAGGAGAAACACTAACTACCACCCAGACATAGTCACAAGTATGTCCCTCTCTAGTGCAGCGCAACACTCCTTATGCCCACTCTCTCCTCCCCAACCTGATGCCCACTCCATGCCAGCTCTCCCAGCAGTGCCAGGCGGGTACAGGGGTGACCAAACCAGTTGGTGTGTGTAGGGCAGCAGGAGGCAACCCCATAATCCTCCAGGCCTCATCCCCGCACTCACACATACTCCCTTAGGGAACAGACAGTTCCCATCCTGGTTTAACCCCTCACAGCCCAATCTGGTTCCCCCGCCCCTGATAAGCGGTCTCCCTCCTCCAGGAATAAGTTGGGGGAAGGAGGAATAGCTGCGCTGACTCATTCCCGTTCTCGGCTGCAGCTAGGGGTCTCCAAGGCATTCGGGCGGGGGTCAATTCAAGAACACCCTCCACCTGGCCCGGAAGCCAGGACAGCCAGCCGGTCTCCCCCTCTCCCCAGCACCCACTTCCGGTGTCCCAAACTAGGTCAGCAGCGCTCGTTTCCTGTGGGTCAGCTAGCACCGGCGCCTCTGCCCCTCCCCTGCTCCGGACCCAGGCTCCCCGCCCCCCCGGCCCCCAGGGCGCCCCGAGGTCTCACCACGTCTCAGCCGCCCTTTGATACGTGGGGGTTGTGCGGGGCGGGGGGCAGGGGACCCGCCCTCTCTCTAAACACCAGCAGGGCCGGGGCGCCTGGGCAGGCACGTGTCCGGGCACAACCCGCTGCCCACGCCGCCCCCCCACTCCCGCCCCCACCTCGCTCTGGCCGGGACACGTCGCTCTCTTACTTGGGATGGGGTGGGAGGAGGGAGAGAAAGCTGGAAATTGAAAGCAGCGCCCCCCACCCCTTTGAATGGCAGCCTTCTGCCAGGCTCACTCTGTAGGTTCTACAACAACACTGTAGCGACCCCCACTCTGGGCTGGGGCAGGTGCGCCGGCGCTGGTGGGGGGACGGGCGGTAGGTAGGAGAATTCTTCCTAGTCACCCGCCCTGGCTCTCGGGTTCTGGGGGCATGAGCTGGCGTGGAAAAGGTAGCGGCGGTACTGGAGCCTGAAGGAAGGGAGTGGGATTGAGGGGCAGGGGAGAGGGAGGTCGTTCTATGTCGGTTCGGAGGTTGTTGCTGAGCCCCACTACCGCTGGAGAGAGCGCGGCTCTGGAAGCGCAAGAAACCGTAGTCCAGCCGGTAACTTTCCCCCAAGCAGCGGCTCCTCCTGCGCCCCCCCAACCCCCATGCAACTGGCCTGGGGCCAACCCACCGCGCCAGGGGGCGCGGGGTGGGGGGGTGCGCGTTGTCCTAGTTAGAGTCCGTCAGCGTTTCCATTCCCTCAACTCGGTCCGGTCTGGGGTCTCCCCCTAAAGTCACGAAGGAGACTGGGGAAACGCTCAGCGTCGCCTCACCCCCTCTCCATCCCGAAGCCGCCTGTCTGTCTGATCCCAGGAGAAGTGCAGAGAAAGTTTCTGGGGACCCTCCGCCCAGGGTTGGGGGGCATCCGCAGTTCCTTCTCTGTCTTTCCTCCCAATTAAAACCAATTCCAGAGATCCGGGGTGTTGGGAAAGCACAGGGAAGGGGAGTGGTGGGAATCTGATCTGCATGCGTGTGTATGTGGGGGTCCCACTTACAGGACGGACGAAGGACACTGCAGTAGTCTCGAGTCTAGTGAACCCCGAGCCAGGACACAAAAGTGGGGTACACTCACCTCTCAGCCGTCGGGTCCGCTGGCTGGAGCTGCTGAGGCTCAGGGTGTGGGAAGAAGCGCGTCCCCCACCAGGCCCGGGGGCTTGGGGCCCTGCTCCGGTCCTGGTCAGAAGGCCGCGGTCAGTTGCTCGCCGCTCGCTGCTGGGGGGCTCCTCCTCCGCCGCCCTCTGCCTCCTCCTGCCGCCCGCCCCCCCTTGGCCGCCAAGAGCCGTACATTCACCTGGCTCCCACCCGCCCCCCCCTCAGGGCCCGCCTCACCTGTCCTGCTGTCTCACCTGTCCTCCTGCTTGCTTTCCCCCCATCCCTCCCCTCCCTCCCCCCGCCCCTGCCACCCCCCAAACTCCCCCCCCAACACTTAGCAACACCCTCTGTCACTTCCTGGTTTTTCACCCGCCCCCCCAGGTCCCCCTCCCTCCGCCCAATAAGGACATAAACTTCAACCCCTTCGTCCAGCCAGTCCCTGCAGAGCGCAGATGGGTCCCTCCCTCCTTTTTTGCCCCCTTCCTCCAAACTCTTACTTAGCTCTCCTAGCCTTTTCCACCCTCCTCCTTTCCCTCCTTCTTTCCTTCTCTCTGTCTCCCTTCACCTGCCGCGGTCCCTCTCTCCCCCCGTTTCTCCTGCCCCTATCTCTCCCAGTCCACCTTAACTCAAACTCCGCCCCAGGCCCCCATCCAGCCCTTTGCCGCTGCTCTGCCCGCCCCCTGCACGCCACCGCCCTGTCCGCCCATTGGCCTGAATACCCGCTCATCTCCAGTGGGTCTCGCCTTGCTTTCGTCCAGGGAGGGGGCGGAGCCGAGGGGCTGGCCTGGAACCTGGAGAGGAGGGGGGAGGGGGCAGTGTCCGCAGCGGCCAGGGAACCAAGCACCCCCTACAGGGGCTCCCTCTCCTCCAAGAGGGGCTTCTGCAGGGTCAGGACCTCAGGAGGGAAGGGTATGAGAGGTTAGGGATAGGCTGGGTGGGAGTGAATTGGGGACTTAGGGTCTTGAGGGAGGGGGTCCCGTGAGGGGCTATAATCAGGTCAGGGACCTACAAGGGAGGGGGAGGGGGAGCCACCAGGCCTTCAGCTCCGGCCCCTACGCCCCACCCCCTCTCGGAGGGAGCCGGGGAGTTGAGCCTGCGGGCGCCCTGCGTCCCTCCCCACGCGTGACGGTGCCCCGCGGGGAGGGAAGGGCGCCCCGGGCAAGCAGCCTCTGTGCTGTCGCCAGTGCCCGCTGCGGCCTTGGCATTGTCGGAGGGGAGGGGCCCAGTCTGCGAAGGGGGAGGGGGCGCGCTCACGCTTTTGCTCCCCAACTCCATCCCGCGGGTTCCCTAAGTGGAGAAACTGAGTCTCCACCGAGGAGGGATATCTTGACATGGATTCGCTCAGAAACCCAGGTGGCGAGGGGTGCCTGGATGTTTTGGGATGTGTGGTATGTGTAGGTTTTGGGGAGGACCGGTATAAATACTTGGGAGCCCCCCAACTGAGAAAGGTAGCGGGTGAAGGATGTTTCCGACTGAGCCTGCGGAGCTGCGTACCCCAAAGGGCCCCTCCCACTAGTGTCAAACGGAATCACAGCAGGCTACCTAGGGCCAGGTTTGGCTCCCCCGCGACAAGCCAGGCCGAACCGGGTCGGACTCGCTTTCCCCTCCCAACCCCCCTCCGCAGGGGGCCTCCCTCCCTTTCCAGCAGGTGGCTCCTCGGGACACCAGCTCAACCTGTTGGACCACAATGGGCGGCGCCAGGGGGGCCCTGGCCCTCACCCGGGCTGACCCGGGATCCCCGCGCATGAGGGGCGGAGTCCAGGTCCCTCCCTCCCTCTTTCTCCCTCTCTCCCTCTCCGCGCCGGGCCGTGACTCAGCCTCGGGGCCGCTGCCCTGCGCCCCAGCCAGGGGCGGAAAGTGTGAGGCGCCCCTGAGGGCTCAGGCCAAACCAAACAGCCCCCCACCCCAGACATTATCTCACTGGAGAATTAGGGGGGCTATAGGAAGGAGGAGGTAGCTGCAGGCATGGGGCGCTCTGGCTCGAGTAATCCGCTCCAGGTTTTCCTAGCGTCCCTGACCCCCTTGGGTCCCGAGGCCGGTCACTGCTCCGGGTTTTCTTCTCAGCCCCGCCGGACAGATTCTGGTCCGGAGGGGCCGGGAGCCGGTGGGGTCCAGGCCGGGGTTTTCCCGGTCCTACTCCAGCCGTCCGGGTAGTGCAGGCCTGGCGAAGGGCTGTGCTAGGAGCTAGGCGGCAGTGCCACAAGTGAAATGGAGAGGGGGCTGCTTTGGGGAGGAAAGGGGATAGCCAAAGAAAGGGGGCGGGGGACAGGGGGTGGGAACGTGGCCCGGGAAGGGCAGGGCCAGGGCTTCCAGAGGCAATATCAGGGCGGGCTCCCTGGCACCAGCCTTTGGGTACAGAAACTCGGAAGGTGCCCAGTGCCTCAGGCTTGCCTCGCTCAACTTCCCCCCTGAGGGTCGCGTTCTACGTCTGGCTGAACATGACTGATCTTTCTGCGGCTAGATTGCCACTCCCCACCTCATTCCCAATAGTCCTGGAACCCTCAGTTAGTTCCTCAGTGACGCCCACCCTCCCATGTCTCTTTTTTTCTCCTGGTGCAAATAGCTCCCCTCCTTACTCAGAAATCGGAGTGGGGAACCCCTACTTGAAATTCCCTCTTACCCCAACCCCTAACCACGCCAAACGACCGAAACAGCGGCGGTAGAGAAACGCTGACTGGAGACCCCGCCCCCTCCCTTGAAGCCCCTGCTAGGCCCCAGGGGCCGGCCGCCCCCGCCCCGCCACCAGGCCCAGACTGGAACTGGGAGCTGGAGGGCAAGTGAGGGGCCTGCAGGGGCCGCCTGGGGATAGGGGAGCGTCCCAGATCCTCACGTTAAGACTTAAATTTTTAGGTGACCAGCTAGACCTTAATATTTGGGGAGAGTAGCACGAGTTGGAGAAATACTCAGAGAAGGAAGTGTTTACCCTAAGAGAGGGATGAAAGCCCGGAGTGGGAGGACTGAATACCTGGGGCTGGGGACAGCGACTCGGAGTGAGGGCCAGGTGCCCGGACTGACTGGGCCACGTGCGCCAAAGGGTAGAAGCATAGAAGTTAGATGCTTGCGGAACCTGAGGGAAAGAGGCCTTCAGGTGGCGAGATAGGCGAGGCTTTGCCTGGGCGGGGTCCTGCGTGAGTGGGTCTGGGGGACTGTTTCGGAATGTGGGGAACTGAGCTGCAAGCGGAGTGTCAGCCTGCGCCCGGCGCCCACCTCTTCCCCGCTGCTCCCCCCCATCCTCGACTGCCTCCGCTTCCCTCGAAAAACCCGCCGCCCAGGAAACCGCTGGGGGCGCTCAGACCGCAGACCCCCACGCCCCCCGCCCCCCAGCGCTCCCACCGCGACCGCCCAACCCACCTGAAGGGGCCGTGGCCGCCAGGGGTACCCCCCTCCTGCCGACTCCCCCCAACACCTGCGGGTGGCACTATTTATAACTCCGCGCCTATTCCGGGCCTCTGGGTTGGAGCCGGCTGCCGCGCGGCGCTAATCGCCGCCGGGATCTCTGCGCCCCCCAAAGCCGGGGGAGGTAAATTTAGCTTCAGCAAGCTCAGGGGAACATTTTCCAAAACTCCACGTCCCAGAGAAGGCGAGAGAACCCCTCTGCACTCAGCCTCTCTCCGATCAGCCACCAGGAGGCGCAGGTCCCCGGCTCCTCGAACCCAGCCAGCTAGGAGGTATGGTCGCTTCTTTGAAGCTGGGGTAGGCGAAAGGCTGAGGGCGAATGATGGAAAGGAACTGAGGCTGGAGAATGGCTAGAGGAACGGGTACGCTCCAAGGCTGGCGAACACCCTAGAGTCTGAGAGTAACTGAGAAAGTGGGTGGGGGAAAATAACTCACATGCAAGAGAGATGTAAATAGGATGTAAGAGCGAGCCTATGCCCATGCCGGGCGCGGTGGCTCTCGCCTGTAATCTCAGCACTTCGGGAGGCAGAGACGGGTGGAACACCTGAGGTCAGGAGTTGGAGACCAGCTTGACCAACATGGTGAAACCCCGTCTCTAGTAAAAATACAAAAATTAGCCAGTCGTGGTGGCACACGCCTGTAATCCGAGCTACTCGGGAGGCTGAAGCAGGAGAATTGCTTGAACCTGGGGGGGCGGAGGTCGCCATGAGCCAAGATCGCGCCATTGCACTCCAGTCTGGGCAACAAGAGCGAAACTCCGTCTCAGAAAACAAAACAAAACAAAAAAAGCCTATGCCCTTGGGGGTAGGCCTGCGCTCTGGCTCTGTCAGTGAAATGATTGCCACATCCCCCTTTCTGCCGGCCTGTTGGTGGTGTTGGGAAAACGTGGGACACCCCCACCCACCCACGCCTCCCCACCGCCAGATTATTGCTGTGATATCCAGTTTATTGCCTGCCGCTTCTCAGACCCTTGGGCCGTGATCCCTCTTCTCCACCTGTTTCTCGCATGCCAACGAGGGTCCTGTATCCGATGTAATCCGCTGGGAATCCTGGATATCAGGCTTCTCCTCTTGCTCTTGTACTTGGGGGTCACATCCATCTGGTCCCTCTTGTCTCCATTCCTACTCCACCCATTCCCCCACCCCCTGTGACCATTAGAGGGCACCAGGGCACCAAGGGGTATGCGAGGTTTTAATGGCAAAGACCGCAATTACTTTTGCACCAACCTAATATCTTGTACCCTGTCTCCTTCACCTCCCTCCCACCTCACTCCACTTGAGTTCCTGAGGGAGTAGTTTGGACACTCAAAACCTGAGTTGCCCTAGTTGGGGAGAGATACTTGTGGGGGAACAGCCACAGAGTGGGCAGCCATGGGCCAGGAAAGATCTCTTGGCCTGTGTGGATTAGGTGAAAGGGCTGAGGCTGAAACCTCCAAATGGGCTGAGAACAGGGAGCTTAGGGCTGAGGTGGGAAGTGGCATGGAGTGGGTGCAGAGTGGGGTGGTGGTACCCTCCATGCTTTTGCTTGCATGGCCCTGCCTCCAGGCCACTTTGGCCACCATCTCCATGCAACAGCAGCTCAGAAGAGGAAGGCAGGCTCATTAGGAGAAGCAGTGAGTTGGTGATCTGAAAATCTGGGTTTGCTAAATGACTCCTTTACTGCAGTGTGCTGTGTATGTCCTTGGGTGAATCATTTCACCTCTTGGGCCTATTTCCTTCATGTTAACATGGGATAATTGCTGAAGTGGACTTCCGTGGCGCCCAAAGCACTCTGTATTGTGAAAAGGGCTCTCTGAATGGTATCTGAGGTTTCTGTTATTCTCCAGTCTTTACACTGTCAAAGCCCTCTTTCCCACTCACATTCTCCTTGGGCCACTGGCAGTCTCACTCCCCCTGCTGCTCTCTATCAGCCATCTCACCACAGGCCACAGCCCTGGACTCCGCCTTCCTCTACCCACCACTTCCCCAGTGGTCTCTGCCAGACTTCCCCTCCCCTGGCAAAGGCCCTTGAGCTCAGACCTCAGACTCCAGGATCCACCTCCAGGCACTGCCCCGCTTGGGGGGAGTGAGGCCTAAGAAAGGAAAAGAAGGCAGTAGGCCAGGGCCTGAGTCGGGGAAGGAAGGGCTGGAGCTGGCCAAATAGGGTACAGGCTCTGAGGGGGAAGAAGGAGCCCCAGATTCATGGGAAGGTAAATTCTGACTACTCCCATCACTGGGACCAGGTAAGAGCCTCTCAACGGACCAGCCAAGAGCACTAAGCTGCATTTTGTGGATGCCTAAAGAGATGCACTGAGGCTGGGCACGGTGGCTCATGCTTGTAATCCCAGCACACTGGGAGGCCAAGGTGGGAGGATCACTTGAAGTCAGGAGTTCGAGACCAGCCTGGCCAACATGGTGAAACCCTGTCTCTACTAAAAATATTGAAATTGGCTGGGCATGGTGGCTCATGCCTGTAATCCCAGCACTCTGGGAGGCCGAGGTGGGTAGATCAGGAGGTCAGGAGATCAAGACCATCCTAGCTAACACGGTGAAACCCCATCTCTACTAAAAATACAAAAAATTAGCCAGGCGTGGGGGCGGGCACCTGTAGTCCCAGCTACTCAGGAGGCTGAGGCAGGAGAATGGCGTGAACCTGGGAGGCGGAGCTTGCAGTGAGCTGAGATCGTGCCCCTGCACTCCAGCCTGGGTGACAGAGCGAGACTCCATCTCAAAAAAAAAAAATTGAAATTAGCAGGACATGGTGGTGCACTCCTGTAATCCCAGCTACTCAGGAGGCTGACATAGGAAAATCACTTGAACCCGGAGACGGAGGTTGCAGTGAGCTGAGGTTGCACCATTGAACTCCAGCCTGGGTGCCAGAGTAAGAATCTGTCTCAAAAAAAAAAAAAAAAAAAAAAGATGCACTGACCTGCCAGGGATAAGAAATAAGCTCAAGTTGGAGTACTGTAGAGACTAGGCTGCTGTAAAAAAGAATGGACAAGTTCTCCATGTGTTGATATGGGATCCTGAATCCTGTCCAAGGTTTATCAAAGGAAAAGAAGCAAAGTGCAGAACAATGTGGAGAGTATGTTAACTAACTAGGAAGAGTAATATATCCAGAATCCAGCCACCCCTTACTACTGCTTTTGCTATAAACCTGGTCTGAGACCACCAACGTGTCTGGCCTATATTGTGCCATTACCTCCTAATAGGTCACTCGTATTCTACCTTTGCTCCCCTGAAGTCTGTTCTCAACACAGCAGCCAGCTTGCGCCTTTTAAGTAAAAAAACTCATTTCATGCTCAACATCCTGCAATAGTTCCTCATTTCACTCAGCATAAAAGCTCAAATTCTTAGGCTCTCTATGACCCATTCCCAACACCAGCTCGATTTCCACTTTTTTTTTCCTATAGTGCCTATCATCTAATAACATATGCATACTTTAAAAAATGTTTCTAGTTTGTCCTGTCCGCCCCCTAAAATGTAAGCTTCACAAGTACATGGATCTGTTTTGTTCACTGCTGTATCCAAAGACCCACACTGATATAAGTATACACTGAAAAACTCAATATTTGTAGAATGAATGAAGATGCAGTCTATGCATAGACTGGAATGTTCTCCAAGAAACTGGTAACCATGGTTGCCTCCAGGGGCAGCACTAAGGGACTGGGGGATAGACCAGGAGACTTTTAACTATTAGAGTTCTTTTTTTTTTTTTTTTTTTTAAGACGAAGTCTTGCTCTGTCACCCAGGCTGGAGTGCACTGGTGCAATCTTGGCTCACTGCAACCTCCACCTCCCGGATTCAAGTCATTCTCCTGCCTCAGCCTCCCGGGTAGCTGGGACTACAGGCATGCGCCCTCACGTCTGGCTAATTTTTTTTTTTTTTTTTTTTGGTATTTTTAGTAGAGATGGGGTTTCACCATGCTGGCCAGGCTGGTCTCAAACTCCTGACCTCAAGTGATCCACCCGCCTCAGCCTCCTCAAGTGCTGGGAGCCACCGCACCCAGCCCTGTCTTTTTTTTTTTTTAGATGGAGTTTCACTCTTGTCCCCTAGGCTGGAGGGCAGTGGCATGATCTTGGCTCACTGCAACCTCTGCCTCCCGGGTTCAAGTGATTCTCCTGCCTCAGCCTCCCAAGTAGCTGGGATTACAGGCACTCACCACCTTGCCCAGCTGATTATTTTTAGTAGAGATGCGGTTTCACCATGTTGGCCAGGCTGGTCTAGAACTCCTGACCTCAGGTGATCCGCCCGCCTCTGCTTCCCAAAGTGCTGGGATTACAGGTGTGAGCCATCGTACCCAGCCTGGCCTAAAGTTCTTTACTGTGGGCATATATCACCTTTACAAAAAGAACCTAGAAAAAAAAACAAAAAAAAACAAGAGTTAACTAACAAGAAGGCTGAGGAAGAGCTGGTCCCAGACAGGGAGGAAGAGGGCCCTATCTACCGTAATCTCCAGGCCAGTGCCCCAAGTGACAAAGGGCTGGGGGATGAAAACTGAGCCCTAAGAGGGGACAGAGAATGCTGGGTGGGGATCCCAGGGAAATACTGAGCAGTCCCATGGCTGGCTCTGAGGTGTGGGGGCTGTGGGTGGGCGCATCAGTAAGCATAAGCGCCCCATGAGCAGGATGACGCACGTGGCTGATGCGCCTCCACCACCGGAGCAACTCCTGGAAAATGCCAGCTGTGGCTACCAAGAGGAAGTCAAGAGCCAATTCTGCTCAATCTAGCTGCTTATGTCCTGATAGGGCTGTGCCATGATAAGCCTGGGGGACCCATGTGGCCACACAGGTGCCTTTCTCTTGTAGCTTTGTATGTGAGCTGGGAGCTCTTGTAGCTCATGCGGTTCCACTTCCTTCAGGAGCTGGGGACTAGCCTCAGCTTAGTGCTTTCCCCAAGATCCTCAGAAGCAGGAAGCTGCCTGGGCAGGTCTTCTATTTGGGAAAGGGCTGGGTCCTCTGGGTTTCCATACACCCTTGGCCTCACAGATGAAGACCCTACTCAAGCTGGGTCCCCTCCTTACCCACAGATTGAGAGGAACCTGGACTGTCTTCCACCCTCCCCACTCAGGAACCTGGCTTTCAATCTTGGTTCTATTCAGGACAAGCTCCTTCCCTCCCTGGTCTGCACCCTGGCTCTCAGACCCTTCTAGTGCTGACTTTTTCTGATTCCCCTTTAGACATTTAGAATCTTGGGCCTCAAAGCCTGTGGATTATATTTATAATTCAGTGATTCTCAGTTATCTTAGGAGACAGTCTATTCTTGGTACTATGAGAGTATAGTAAGATCAACCATCTGAGCTGGTGGGCCCACTGTGCCAAGCTTGGAGGAGTGCCAGGTCTTGCCACAATCTTACTGGGGTCCTAGCCAGATCAGTCCAAGCTCCTGCCCACCAGAGGTTCCCCAGAGGCAGGGGTTGGGAATGGAGGAGGCTCAGAGATGAGGCAGGTCCGCCAGATGACACAGCTCAAAGCAGGATCCACACTTCACTCTTTACTCATTGTTTATGGCCCATCCTTGGTCAAGCACAGCTGGCCCCAGGAGTCTTGATGGCAATTGGGCTGGGGGCTAAAGAAGAGAATGAGAAGCTGAGGCAAGCTCTGCCACAGAAGCTGCAGCTATGCCTCCTGTTTACTCTATCCTGCCCACCTGAGCGATGCCAGCCATGGTGCTGGTGGGGAGAGGAGGCAGTTCCCTGCCACCATTAATCCAGCAGTTCCTTGATACACCAGCAGCAGAGGAGGATGTAGGCGACTTCCTTCAGGGTCCGCTGGAAGCCCTCCCACCCTGTGCCCATCTTAATGACAGGCACCCGCAGCCCAGTGTCTTGAGGGGCCCCTCTGAGGAAGAAAGGTAGGGTTTGGGCTAGGGGCTGTGTCCGGGGCTGCATGTGGGCAGCAGTTCTGAGGAAGGGTGTGGGAGCTGCCTCTAGTGCCTTTTATCAACACTGTCCCCACCCCCTTCAGCCTCATGACTACAGAGACAAAGGATCCAGGGTTTAGCAAAGGGAAGGTTCTAGGCCTGGGAACAGGCTGAGTCAGCCCCTCTAGACAGGGATGGGAGGGTGGGGTTAGTGGGAGGGAAGGCCTGGCCACTCCATCTTTCATCCTCCACAACTAGGCCAAGGCAGCTTCCCCTCTTCCAGCCAGGGTATTGCCCTGCCTGATTGCCCTTTTCCCAGTGGTTGGCACAACTCCTGCTTCTGCCCTCTGGTGGGCTCCTGCTGAGGCTGACATTGAGAACCATCAGTGAGAGCTCCTTTCCAGCCTGTTCTGCCCTGCCCCTTAAAGTGAGCACAGCCAGTCAGAGCTGGCAGCATTTGACCCAATTCTGCTTCTCCCATCCTCTGGAGCAGGAAGACACAGCTAGAGCAACAGGCACAGTGACAGGCATGGTTTATTGCCAGGTTATACCCTAGAACAGTGTCCTTCCCTCCCTCCTAGGGTGGGAGGTCATGTGCGGGAGTTTCGCTCCTCTTCTTCGTTCTCCAGTAGGTAGGCTGGACGGTATGTGGGGTGTCCTCCTGGGCTCAGGCACTTCAAAGCCGGGTTCCGCACGGTATTCTCCCGACTCCCCAGTGATGTGTATCTGGAGCAGGGAGGGTAGAGGGCAAGTATGTGGTAGGGTGTGCAATCCTACTGGCCCTCCCTATTCCAGCACCCTAAAAACTCCCTTACCCATTCCCTTCCCCTAATACCCTTACCCTCGGTCATACAGGATACAGTATGGGACAAACAACTGACGCAGAAAGTCCCAGATGTCTCTGTAGGTCCAGTCCTGGGAGGTCAGAGTAATAGAATAGTCACAAATGCTCCCCTCTCCCACTTCTACCCCTGCTGTCCCGGGAAGGGGCCCATCGATGGCTCTTCTGCTCCCTTGGCCTCTGAAGGAGGGCTTGCTATCTGATTCTCTGGTATAGCTTGCTCTATGTATGCAAAGACAAAGATAAGGACTTCATCTTCTCCACTCTCTGCTTTCCATTCCTGAACCACCCTCTACTGCAAGGGTGGAGCTCCAGGAGGACAGGCAGAGACCATGTCTGTCTATTTATTTTTTGAGACGGAGTTTTGCTCTGTCACCCAGGCTGGGGTGCAGTGGCGCGATCTCGGCTCACTGCAACCTCTGCCTCCCGGGTTCATGCCATTCTCCTGCCTCAGCCTCCTGAGTAGCTGGGACTACAGGCGCCAGCCACCACGCCCGGTTAATTTTTTGTATTTTTAGTAGAGACGGGGTTTCACCATGTTAGCCAGGATGGTCTCGATCTCCTGACTTCATGATCCGCCTGCCTCGGCCTCCCAAAGTGCTGGGATTACAGGCGTGAGCCACCATGCCCCGCCCGATTTTTTTTTTTTTTTTTAAGAGAAGGTCTTTTCTGTTGCCCAGGCTGGAGTGCACTGGCATGATCATGGCTCACTGCAGCCTTGACTTCCCTGGCTCAAGCGATCTTCCTGCCTCAGCCTGAGTAGCTGGGACTACAGGCATTGATCAGCCCACCTTGGCCTCCCAAAGTGCTGGAATTACAGGTGTGAGCCACTATGCCTGGCCAGAACTTTCTGTGGTGATGGAAATGTTCTATATCTCTACTGTCTAATATGGTGGTCATTTGAAATGTGGCTAGTACAAATACTAAAGTACTGTATTTTTTTTTGGACGGAGTCTCACTCTGTTGCCTAGGCTAGAGTATAGTGGTGCCATCTAGGCTCACTGCAATCTCTGCCTCCCAGGCTCAAGTGATTCTCCTACCTCAGCCTCCTAAGTAGCTGGGATTACAGGTGCCTGCCACCATGTCCCGCTAATTTTTGTATTTTTAGTAGAGACGGGGTTTCATCATCTTGGTCAGGCTGGTCTCGATCTCCTGACCTCAGGCGATCCACCTGCCTCAGCCTCCCAAAGTGCAGGGATTACAGGTGTGAGCCACTATGCCCGGCCTGCATTTTTTTTTTTTTTTTTGAGATAGAGAGTCTTGCTCTGTTGCCCAGGCTGGAGTGCAGTGGTGTGATCTCAGCTCACTGCAACCTCTGCCTCCTAGGTTCAAGCAATTCTCCTGCCTTAGCCTCCCGAGTAGCTAGGACTACAGGTGCATGCCACCATGCCTGGCTTTTTTTTTTTTTTTTTGAGACAGAGTCTTGCTCTGTTGCCCAGGCTGGAGTGCAGTGGTGCGACCTCAGCTCACTGCAAGCTCTGCCTCCCAGGTTCACGCCATTCTCCTGCCTCAGTCTCCTGAGTAGCTGGGACTACAGATGCCCGCCACCACGCACAACTAATTTTTTCTATTTTTAGTAGAGATGGGGTTTCACCCTGTTAGCCAAGATGGTCTCGATCTCCTGACCTCATGATCCGCCTGCCTCGGCCTCCCAAAGTGCTGGGATTATATGTGTGAGCCACTGCACCTGGCCACGCCTGGCTAATTTTTTGTATTTTTAGTAGAGATGGGGTTTCACCATGTTGGCCAGGCTGTCTCGAACTCCTGGCCTCAAGTGATCCACCCACCTTGGCCTCTCAAAGTGCTGAGATTACAGGCATAAGCCACGCGCCCAGCCAGAACTGAATTTTTAATTGTACTTAATTTGAAAAATTGAGGTATCCACATGCTGTCAAATTCATCCTTTTAAAGTATATAATTCAGTGGTTTTTAGTCATAAGTATTTCATTCTAATTAATTAAAATTTAAGTATAAATAAATAATTAGTGGCTATATTAGACAGCACAGGTCTAAGTCACTATTCTGTCCACAGTAGGAAGCACAATGCCTGCTATTGAATTTGGGCTCAATAAATATTGGTCAAAAGGATGAATGAACAGATAGCACTGCCTCACTTGGATGATGAGGCCCCTTCATCCAGGTTCCAGGCTCTAGCCTCCCCACTACTACAAGTGAGCTAGGGTGCAGTGACTGATGGGGCACGTGAGACTGAAGGCGATCAACCCTCTTCCCCATTACCAGCAGTGGGTTGATGCGCATGAACACAGGCCAGCCTGGGTCAGTGGGGCTGAAAGGGCAGAGGCTACAGGAGTAGGGGTCAGTCCGGCGGGTGCCCATCAGGACAGCCTCCAGCTGGGGGTGCCGTGCCTGCAGTTCACCCAGGGCCTGCTTCATGCTGCCCTCAGCTTCCAACATCTGCAGATTATACCTTAGGAAGAAACAGAAGTAGGGGTCGGGAGTGAGCTCTGTCAAGCTTCTCTTGGAGCCCAAACCTCCAGGCCCCTAGTACCTCTTGATAGTATCCTGTAGAAATTGTTCCAGCTCAGGGAAAGGGGAGATGCTGCGGATATACAGGATCTGGAGGGGGTTTGGAACATCAGGTAATTTCCTGCGGAGGGGGAAGAATCCACAGGCTTGCCAGCATGGACAGGGAAATGGCTCTCCTGAAACAGCTCACTGTTCTCTTTGGCCCCTGGAACAGACTCCCACCCCTTCTCTCTTTTCCTTGTCCTTTCCATCCATTAGACCCACTTCCTCTGGGAAGCCCACTCTGACCTTTCACCTCTCAAATCTAAACACGCATCCCTGGTTCAGGTATGTAAATCTCCCATCTCCCCAGTGGACTGTGACTTCCCTGTGGTCAGGGATAGTGGCCTGCACATCCATACACAAGGCCAGGCACATATCATATGCTCAATATGGTGGGAGAATGGAACTGAGAGATCACCAAGACTATCTCCCCCTTGAACTCCACCTATACACTCCCTCTCCCCTTGCTTTCTGGGATGTGGAACTGGAGAAACAGATCAGGGGTTTTGTCTCCCAGGGGGCAGGCTCACCTCTGCACAGCTGCATGGAAGAGGTGCAGGAGGGCGGTGCAGTCTTTGCCCCCGTTGAAGCCCACACAGAGCTGGGTGAGGCTGTACTGAGCCAGGGCGGTCTCAATGGTCTGTAGGGCACCTGCCACCTTTTCCCCCAGAGAAGACCCTGCCAAGCAGGCAGGGAAGAGGGCATCAGATGGACACATATGGCTATCAAAGGGGAGTGAAGGCATGCTGCCCTTGCTTAAACCCTTCGATATCTTCCCAATTGTCTGAGGATAAAGTCCAAACTCCTTCATGCTGCTCACTAGGCCCTGCAGAGTTGGCCCCTGACCTGCCATCTGCCACCCAGCCACACCTCACGGTAGCCTCAGTGTCATTCCTCCGTAGCAGGGGGCGTGGGGTGTGGGCTTCCTTCCATTCCCCTAAACCCCATGCTGCTTCCTTGCAGGCCATCATTCATACTATTGGCTCTTGCCCACCTACTAGACCAAATCCTCCTTATCGCTCAGTTTATGTCACTTTGCCTTCTCTGACCCCAGATCAAGGCTGATCTCCCTGCTGTGGGAGATCACTCCCTTCATCACCCCATGCAGGATCACCTGTTTAATGTCCATCTTTCTTGTTAAAACACTCGTCCACAAGAGCAGGGCATACATTATTCTTTTGGGCTATATTCCCAACACCTAGCACAGTGCTGATGAAAGTAGGTACTCAATCAACGTTTATTGGAAGAATAATGAATTAACAGAAGCTATCTTCTGCCCTCCCTGGGATTTGCAGGAAGCACCCAACAGCCCCTGCATTACTGAGATCTGGGGTGGCACCAATGGCTTTGGGCATACTGCCCCTCCTCCATAAGGTCCCTACCTGATTCAGCGAGTTTGTATACAGCCTCACTGGCCTGCTCCACGGCGTTGGGCATGTAGGGGACCAGCGATCCCTGGGGCAAACGGGCAGTCAGGTAGGCCAGGCATTCCTCCAGGGGTCCTTCTTCCTCTGAGTCTAGAGTCAGCTTCACCTGATAGTAGTTGCTGCCCCAGTCAGGGTAGGAACCCAGGCCAAGCCTACGTCCAAAGTGGACCTGGGCCTCAGCCAGAATGGGGGCAATGGAGGCTTCATCAGCAGCCACATACAGCTCCTTTGAGTGGAACTGAACAGCTGGGTTTTGGAACAGTCCCTTCAGCCCCTCCAGCACCCGCTGCAGCAGCTCTGGAATGCCTGGGAAGAGGTAGACATTTCGGACGGAGACCAGTGGGAATCTGAAGGGATGACCAG